TATAAAGATCCAGTCCATTAAAAAAATTGGAGGCCCCTTACACTTCAGTGTTGTGATCCAAAAATCTTAGCAAAATGTATAGCGCGTAGAATTAAAAAGGTATTGTCAGACATTATTCATTCAAATCAGACAGGTTTTCTACATGGGCGATACATTGGAGATAATATAAGGCAAGTACTGGAAACAATAGAACACTATGAAAAATCTGGGAAACCAGGCCTGCTATTCATAGCAGACTTCGAAAAGGCATTTGATAAAGTATGACTGGGGTTTATATATAAATGCCTGGAGCATTTCAATTTTGAACAATCTTTTATAAACTGGGTTAAAATCATGTATAGTAACCCTAGGTGTAAAATAGTAAATAACAGCTATTTCTCAGAAAGTTTTAAACTGTCAAGAGGAGTGAAAAAAGGTTGTCCACTATCGGCATATCTATTTATTATGGCTATCGAGATGTTAGCTATTAAAATCAGATCCAACAATAATATCAAGGGATTAGAAATCGAGGGCTTAAAAACAAAGGTGTCATTGTACGCTGATGATTCATGTTTTCTTTTAAACCCACAACTTGAATCCCTCCACAGCCTCATAGAGGATCTGGATACATTTTCTAACCTCTCTGGATTACAACCAAATTATGATAAATGTACTATATTACGTATTGGATCACTAAAAAATACAATTTTTACATTACCATGTAGTTTACCAATACAATTGTATGATGGTGATGTGGATATACTAGGAATAAATATCCCAAATGAAATAAATGATCTCACTCCAATACATTTTTATAGAAAGTTAGCAAAAATAGATAAGATATTGCTACCATGGAAAGGTAAATACCTGTCAATTTGTGGAAAAATCACCCTGATTAACTCTTTAGTATTATCCCAGTTTACCTATTTGCTTATGGTCTTGCCTACGCCTAGCGAACAGTTCTTTAAATTATATGAGAAAAAAATATTAAATTTTATTTGGAACGGCAAGCCAGACAAAATTAAACGGGCCTATTTATATTATGAATATGAATTCGGAGGACCGAAATGATTAAATATTAAAGCATTAGACCTATCACTAAAGGCTTCAGTCATACAAAAGTTATACTTAAATCCGAACTGGTTCTCTAGCAAATTAGTATGATTGTCTCACCCAATGTTCAAGAAGGGACTTTTTCCCTTTATTCAGATTACAACCTCTCACTTTCAGGTATTTGAAAATTAAATAATCTCCCAAATATCACTATTTCTAAAACAAGCCATAGAAAGTTGGTTGCAATTTCAATTTATTCCTCCAGAAATGACAGAACAAATATTGCAACAAATATTGTGGTTAAACTCAAATATACTAATAGATAAAAAAAACTTTATAAAAAAAAAAAAAAAAAAAAAAGGTATAATCTTCGTAAATGATATTATCGGTAGGAATGGTGGAGTTATGTCGCACATGCAGCTAACAAAAACATATGGAAATGTCTGCTCTACACAAAATTACAACCGAATAATTGCAGCATTACCGCAAAAATGGAAGAGGAAAGTGGAAGGGGAAAGTGGAAGTAAGGAACTTGTCTGTCGGCCTTGCATTAAAGAACATAATTGGTTAAAGAAAATTGTGATAAATAAAAAACGTTTACCAGTTTAATTTAAGGACCAAAAGATTGACAGCCGTCCCATATAGATTGCAAAATAGTTGGGAAGAGATTTTTGACATACTGATTCCGTGGCATAGTGTTTCTAAACTGATACGCAAAATACGCCGGATCCAAAACATAGAATTTTCAATTGAAATAACTATATAAAATTCTTGCTACCAATAGAATGTTATTTGTATGGGGGATACAATCTTCCCAGCTCTGCAGATTTGGCTGTGAAGAGACAGAATCATTAGATAATTTGTTTTGGTACTGTCCATTTGTAGCCTGTTTCTGGACACAGGTCCAGGAATGGCTGAAGGATTGCAATATTTGCATGGAGCTGACCCTGCAGATAGCACTACTGGGTGATCTGAAAAGTCATAGTCAATCGATCAATAATATAATAATACTTTTAGCAAAAATGTTTATTTTCAATTCACAAACTGTAGAAACAATGAGAATAGAAAGGTTCAGAACTTTTGTAAAACATCACAGTACAGTTGAAAAATATATGGCAAATAGAAATCCAATATGGATGGTGTTAAGCGATAGATGGGAGGTGTTGAATGGAGCTGAAGGATGGGACTAATAACAACAACTAATAACAACAAGATAACTAGTGTAAGGCATGCTGTGTCCATAATAAGTATATAGGTTATATATTGTGAGGTTTTGTGAAAGAGCACAGTTAGAAAGATATGGCATATAGAAGCATACCAGATGGACATCATGAAAATGATCGGAGGAAGTTCAGGAGTAAAAACAAACAAAATATAATTATTGACTGTGTCCATAAAATGTATATAGTATGTATAAGCTGGAAGTAGAGGACTAAGCATTGTTGTTTACTAGTTTGCTCCAATTAGGGAAGGGATGGTGGGGTTGGAAAGTAATAAAGGGAATATATATATATTTTTTAAAGGGTATGTATATATATATATATATATATATATATATATATACAGTGAGGGAAAAAAGTATTTGATCCCCTGCTGATTTTGTACGTTTGCCCACTGACAAAGAAATGATCCGTCTATAATATTAATGGTAGGTTTATATGAACAGTGAGAGACAGAATAACAACAACAAAAAACCAGAAAAACGCATGTCAAAATTTTTATAAATTGATTTGCATTTTAATGAGGGAAATAAGTATTTGACCCCTCTGCAAAACGTGACTTAGTACTTGGTGGCAAAACCCTTGTTGGCAATCACAAAGGTCAGACGTTTCTTGTAGTTGGCCACCAGGTTTGCACACATCTCAGGAGGGATTTTGTCCCACTCCTCTTTGCAGATCTTCTCCAAGTCATTAAGGTTTCGAGGCTGACGTTTGGCAACTCGAACCTTCAGCTCCCTCCACAGATTTTCTATGGGATTAAGGTCTGGAGACTGGTTAGGCCACTCCAGGACCTTAATGTGCTTCTTTTTGAACCACTCCTTTGTTGCCTTGGCCGTGTGTTTTGGGTCATTGTCATGCTGGAATACCCATCCACGACCCATTTTCAATGCCCTGGCTGAGGGAAGGAGGTTCTCACCCAAGATTTGATGGTACATGGCCCTGTCCATCGTCCCTTTGATGCGGTGAAGTTGTCCTGTCTCCTTAGCAGAAAAACACCCCCAAAGCATAATGTTTCCACCTCCATGTTTGACGGTGGGGATGGTGTTCTTGGGGTCATAGGCAGCATTCCTCCTCCTCCAAACACGGCGAGTTGAGTTGATGCCAAAGAGCTCCATTTTGGTCTCATCTGACCACAATACTTTCACCCAGTTCTCCTCTGAATCATTCAGAAGTTCATTGGCAAACTTCAGACGGGCATGTACTGTTTATGTGCTTTCTTGAGCAGGGGGACCTTGCGGGCGCTGCAGGATTTCAGTCCTTCATGGCGTAGTGTGTTACTAATTGTTTTCTTGGTGACTATGGTCCCAGCTGCCTTGAGATCATTGACAAGATCCCCCCGTGTAGTTCTGGGCTGATTCCTCACCGTTCTCATGATCATTGCAACTCCACGAGGTGAGATCTTGCATGGAGCCCCAGGCCAAGGGAGATTGACAGTTATTTTGTGTTTCTTCCATTTGCGAATAATCGCACCAACTGTTGTCACCTTCTCACCAAGCTGCTTGGCGATGGTCTTGTAGCCCATTCCAGCCTTGTGTAGGTCTACAATCTTGTCCCTGACATCCTTGGAGAGCTCTTTGGTCTTGGCCATTGTGGAGAGTTTGGAATCTGATTGATTGATTGCTTTTGTGGACAGGTGTCTTTTATACAGGTAACAAGCTGAGATTAAGAGCACTCCCTTTAAGAGTGTGCTCCTAATCTCAGCTCGTTACCTGTATAAAAGACACCTGGGAGCCAGAAATCTTTCTGATTGAGAGGGGGTCAAATACTTATTTCCCTCATTAACATTTTTGCATGCATTTTTCTGGATTTTTTTGTTGTTAATCTGTCTCTCACTGTTCAAATAAACCTACCATTAAAATTATAGACTGATAATTTCTTTGTCAGTGGGCAAACATACAAAATCAGCAGGGGATCAAATAATTTTTTCCCTCACTGTATTTGTATGTATATGCGTATATGTATGTATGTATGTATGTATGTATGTATGTATGTATGTATGTATGTATGTATGTATGTATGTGTGTGTATATATATATATATACATACACACACATACATACATATACGCATATACATACAAATACAGTGAGGGAAAAAAAAAATATATATATATATATATATGCGAGAGAAAAAAAGCATATGGGGGATTGGAAGTGATGCAGACAATTACATTGATGGAACCTACAATCTATCTGCAATATTAAAGCTGATCCACCCCCCCCAAAAAAAAAATATATATATATCAGGGTCACACAGAGTTTTTCTTGGTAGTCAAACAAATCTACTTTGAAACAAAAGTGTACACCTCACACACATGGTTATGAACTTTAAAAAAAGAAGACACCTGTACCATGTCAAATATAGAGTTGAAATGTATTACATTTAGAGTTTGCATCCCAATGTTACACTTTATATACACCACAGAAGACTGAAATATAACAAAACCGTTTCACATAGAAACATCGGATTTTCGGTCAGGTTTTATAAATCATGTTTATTAATTATGAAATTATGAAAAATATGAATAACATTCCACCCATGAGGCCACTAGGCCATTTGACTGCAGGAAAGGGCTACATGTCTGTGGCTTTCCCACTACTACTGAGAACAGAGATATAGCAGAGCCTATTGTGTCCTCGGCATTGGTCAGCCTGGCCAGGTATGCGAGAGAGAGACAGAATGGCCAGGCAGCATGTCAGAGAGGAAGGCTACATGACGCACAGATTCCATGCAATCCCATGGTGCTTGCTACCTAGCAGCCTGTCCGCCGCTCATGTCACTTGCTTGGCCACCGGCCTCTTGGCCACTGTGGCAAAGCCCTGTAGTCAGCATGCCAGGGTTGATAAAACATGATCCATGCTCAGTCCCCTCTCCATGCCTCTACTGCACAAGTCTACAAGCTCTCACATACCTCCCCGAGCTAAACGAGGGCTACACGAGGAGAGTTAGTATCAAACAATCAGTGCCACTGAGGATCCCTTAGCCTGCGGGTGGTGTTAAGTCCTTTGAGATGTGCCCCCTGGAGGTATGTCAAGGGTACACTTTAAAGAGTGCTCAGCTGAATGATCCACAGCATGGAGTTATAGCTTCATCTGAGGCCCAGACAGGCTTAGTATTACTACTACCTATTTTCATAGTTGTCTATGAAACTCCAGCAATCTAAGCAATGACGGGGTAAATTTGTATTCTATTAGTCTGCCTCAACTTTGCACTGATGCAGTCAAGTAAAGTTTGCTCCGTGGTATATGTTATAAAACATGTAGCATCCCATGAGCTTGAGCTCTTATTTGCACAGCCATATCTAAAATAATTCACAAGCCACGCAGCTGAATTACTGACACAACATAGACGGTTATGACTGTACAGGGAATTGCAACTGCTTAGTTAACAAACACCCTGAAATAGATTAAGCGCTCATATGTTTAAGCAAGCATATGTTCAATGAAAAATTGAAATGCTTGATGTAATCCTCTGTATCTTTTACTCAAAGGACAAGGCCTGGTATCATTGTGTAGTAGGAGCCTCTCTGGCAGGAGCCTATCTGGCACTCTCTCTGGGTATAAAGAAGTTAAGTGGGTTTTAAAGAACCAGTGAACACGCTGATTGGCACTTCTGTTTTTCTGTTGCTCATTAGAAAAACTTGGTTTGTTTCCTGACCGATTCCACATTTGGTTGATGATGTTTGTCCCCCATGAGACACTGTAGGAAGCCTATTTCACTTCCTCAAAATCCACAGAATGAATCGAAGATAACTCAAGAAATCTGTAATTAATTTTGACGTTTTTTGCAGAGGATGTTTTAGTTAAGCAATTTTACATCTGACTAAGGTGTTTGTTGCAGTATTTCTCAAGTTAAAAAAATGCGTAACGTGTTGTCTTATGTCAACAAAGTTAGGCTGCTGGGCAGGTCTGTGTCACTGTATGCTATTGGGTAGAGAGCAATCACCGCAGCTGTTCACCCCATGTTAGTGGGCAAATGTACTTCCTCAAATCAAAACCCAACCTTAATTTACCCGTTGTGACGCACAATTGTTCCAAACACTTTGTAGTCAATTTGGACACTAGAATAACTGCTTCTGACACATATCGATGCCACATGGGCCGTTTTCAAAGGGATTTGTTGATTTTTAAAGGCTGTTGCTCTTTCAAAGGTGCAATGTGTATCTCCAGACACTGTCAGACTCCTTCAGTACACCCTATTCCCCAAAAACCTTTGAGGTGCTAAAGAGTCCCGTGTGGCTCAGTTGGTAGAGCATGGCGCTTGCAATGCCATGGTTGTGGGTTTGATTTTCACGGGGGACAAGTATGAAAATGTATGCACTCAAGTCGCTCTGGATAAGTGCGTCTGCTTAATGACTGAAATGTAAATGTTAAATCCCTGTCAGATTCTTAAAACAGTATAGATCTAAGGGAAATCATAGTTCGGTGAATATATGGCCAGTTTAGTGGACCGGTCCGCTTACTGTACCAGCCATTATCTTCATCCATGTGGTCCAACTACTTCTCCTCGGTGACCCCCTAGCCTGGTTCCAGATCTGTTTGTGCTGTCTTGCCAACTCCTACAGTCTTTTTTGGTGTGACAATGCCAATAGGAGTTGGCAAGACAGTACAAATAGATCTGGCACCAGGCTACGGTGCCCGACCCTTTAAAGCAATGAAAAGCCTCACCTACGACATATGGTTCTGCTGGGTGGTGAGGTTCTGCTGCTGCTGAGCCTGCATGAGGAGCTGCTGCTGCTGGCGGCGGCGGGCCGTGCGGAGCTTCTCGAAGCGCGCCTCCATCTCCTCCAGGACCTTGGGCGTGTAACGCACCACCAGCTTTACACTGTCCTTGGCTGCCTTCAGGAGCTCCACCGCCTTCTCGTGGTGCTCCCCCTCCACACTCTGGGGAAATACAGCGAAAAGAATGAGAGAAGAGACTCAGCACATTTGAGCCCCACCTGTTTAGCTAAAAAATACATTTAAGAAATGTGGTGGCAATGTTTTAGTGTTGTAGTCAGCGGCGACCCGTCATTCAGGAATTAAAAGTTAAAGGAGCAGGGTAGGCTACAACGACCAAGAGCCAACAGGTAGGCAGGCTGCTACTTATTAATATTCTGAATGGAGCAGTGGCGACCCGCCATTCAGGAATTATTTACTGTTTTGCGGGTTATTTTGGCATTAATACGTTCCACATATCAGTTTGCATCATTGAGTTAATAAAGCCGCATACAAACATTGTCTCTTTTTTGCTTTCTTGAGTAAGGAAGCTCCAAAATGCAGGTGTTTCAGCCTAACTCAGTGCTTTCTGTAGTGGTGGGGCAGCCAGCAGAAAATACGGAGCTTAGGGGTTGGTAATGTTCTCTAGTTGCGCCGTGATTGGCTCAGTGTTCTGTCACTCATGGGGACAATACGTTACTGCAAAATCTACAGGGAGAGCTCGAAAATTCAAGCCCCTTGGGTGCTGCCATAGAGTTACATTAGAAGTGCCCATCCAAGAATGCTCAAGGTCATTGGCCACAGATAAAATGACGTCAAATCACGTTATATTTAAAGTAGCTTTGATTGGACTGAACATGTCAACATCATACTTTCAAAATCTTAGCTAGCAAGCTAGCAGTCATCATCATGAATCAAGTCAACAATCTACTGACAAATCCTTTTCAACCCTTGTCATATGAAGAGAAATTATGAAGAGAAATTATAGATCAAACGTATAGGTGCTCATCGGCCATTGGACATAAACATTACACAACAAGTTGGAAATTGCAAATTCAACAATGAGTGGTTTGGACGGAATCAGTAGCTAACTACAAGCATTGCAAAGCAATCACTAGCCTGCTATTCAGTGGAGTGGGTGTGTGGTCCAAGTCTGGGTTAAGGGTCTCTTTTCCAAGCTTAAAAGGATAAACATTCAACATTGGCCATGCTATCAATCCAGCATGACTTCTGCCGCATTCAAAACAACTGCAAACTCGGAACTGGGAAATCGCAGACTTCAGTGAGTTCAAGACAACAGGGACCTAGGAAAAAAACAAGCTCCGACTGGGAAAATACGTTTTGACCGGTCATCCAACTCGGAATTCCAAGTCGGGAACACGGGCCACTTTCTAGAGCTCCGACCTGAAGATCACTGACGTCATGATTCAACCTTGTTTTTTTCTGAGTTCCCAGTTGTCTTGAAAGCACCATAAATCCAGAGCATGCCAGACTTTGATGACAGAATTTGTCCATGAAGGACTGCCGCGCCTCCTTCCTGTTCAAGTGAGCACAGCACAACAAGGTGAGTCCAAAAATGTATTGTATGCTGCTGCATAAATTATGTAATATGCCAGGGAGATATGTATACTCTAGCTAAGAAAGTAATACTAGCCCATGTGGCTCACTCTAATAATTTGGTCCCTTTTCCCTTCATAATTTAGCCTACTGTTCTGACTTGGTGGTGCACATTTAGCCTATAGCCTGTTTTAGAGAAATGTCATCATCGAATATTGTAAGAGCTTTCATTGTCTGCTTATATGCCCCCTTTATTTATCCTACAGTTCGGACTTGGTGTACTGGGAGAATACTGTAAGAACGGCCCATGTTCTGAATTCTGTCGCTGTACATTTAAAAAGTGCTGAACAAATAGTTATATTGACTATGTCCGTCCTAGGTCGCTCATTAATGTCTTAATCGAAATTAAGGATTGCCTCTTATCCGCTCGGCGTCCCCTTATGCCATAGTTTGTACATCTCAATTGTCAGTAGAAACCACATTTGTTTAAGCAAGTCAGCCATATCAGCTATGTTTTTTTTAAAGGCAGTAAATGAGGCTGAATGAACAGTTTAGCTGCCAGACAAGGCTCCGCTGATAGCCAGGTGTAGCAGTGGTAAGGTTTTGGGACTGCTGTTGGGACAGCTTTATGTAGGCCCAAACAGTTTGTGGGCACCATTTGTCACCGTTTAGTGTTGTGTTGTGGCTTTGCTTGCATGCATAAACAAGTTCTTTTTTTTTTGCCCCACCAAGATTTAAAATCGCCACTGGTTATAGCGATACGGTCTCTGAAGTCTGCCTCAGTTCCTTAATTGGCATGGACAGAGAATCAAATAAACTTTGCGGAGACTTTCATGCAAGCAACAACTACACAGTTACGCAGCAGCAGCTTCAGTTTCTAAATGGTTACAACCAATTAGGTTTGACCTGGAAGTCAAAGGTATTTCTACCTAGTTCAACATGTTTGGTATAATTAGTACTTCCTCCTCAAGCCCACAGTAATATATAACTTCACATTACAATTCTGAATGCCACGGAAATCAAATGAATCCTTTATGAAGCTTCTAGAAGCGCACGTTTGACTAGTGTTTGTCTGAAGAAGGCACTTAAGTCCGAACACATCCTGACATTACCATGGAAATTGGTTTTCATTTGATTGCGTAAATTGACAGTTATGGAATATGATTCAGCAAGGAATTACGTTGAAAGGCCAAACCGCTAAGCCCTGTGAAGTATGGAACACTTTGCTCATGGTGACATTGGCTGCTTCTAAAAAACTGTTGCTTTGTATTAGCTTCTGTTGTTGCCCGCTGCTTTAGTCATTAAAATATACATTTAGGCAATATTTTTAAGCAACAACGACACAGTTACGCAGCAGCAGCTTAAGTTTCCAAATGGGTATTTCTACTTAGTTCAACATGTTTGGTATAATTAGTACTTCCTCCTCAAGCCCACAGTAATATATAACTTCACATTACAATTCTGAATGCCACGGAAATCAAATGAATCCTTTATGAAGCACGTTTGACTAGTGTTTGTCTGAAGAAGGCACTTAAGTCCGAACACATCCTGACATTACCATGGAAATTGGTTTTCATTTGATTGCGTAAATTGACAGTTATGGAATATGATTCAGCAAGGAATTACGTTGAAAGGCCAAACCGCTAAGCCCTGTGAAGTATGGAACACTTTGCTCATGGTGACATTGGCTGCTTCTAAAAAACTGTTGCTTTGTATTAGCTTCTGTTGTTGCCCGCTGCTTTAGTCGTTAAAAGATACATTTAGGCAATATTTTTAAGCAACAACGACCAGGGACGGCTTGTTCAATAGGGCGATATGGGCGACGCACTGCCAAACGGGAAAAGGAAGGGATTTTTTTTCTAATCAATTATAAAAAAAAATTTTTTTTTTTTTTTTTTTTATAAATTTATAAAAAATTATATCACGGCAACAGCAGTTATCAGTGTTCACGTCTGATCTGACAGCCACTAAATGTCAAATCAGGCTAAAGTCGTGCTTCAAATGGCCCCGCCCGTTTTTTGGGCGATTTCAGTCAGGTTGAAAATCGCCCAGAAGTCTCTCATAGCCTGTCATGTAAAATCTATTTTTTTCACATTTCAAAGCTTTCAATACATTCTCTATGGGTGTCTGTGGGCTTGCACTTACGCGCTTTCGTCATACATAACGTAACCACGAATGAACGTAACTAAGAAAAGACCAGGTAGCAGCCTCAATCAATTCACTACTACTATCAAAATGGCTAGGCTTCAGTCCAACTCGATTGTGTCTTTGAAAGAAGTTCCTTTTTGTCGGCGAACAAATTAAGATAAATTGGCAACGAAACAATTAGGACCTCCCAGACCAAATTTAATAATTCAACAGGTTTCTACTAAAGGCGGAAAGTCCTACACCCGAGGATTTTCCAAAAATTGGTACGAACGAAAAAAGACATTGCCACTCACTCAACTGGATGACGAGGGATACAGGCTAGCTGTCCGCCGCCACAACGATGAGGTTAGTGTTGATAATCACAAGTTTACTGGATGTGGATATGGTGTAATAAAGGCAGTTTATTCAGAGGTAAATATATCTGGAATCGCGTTCACGGACCCGTTCGTCAAACTCTTAGGGAGCTATAAATTAAGCACCATTACTTACCATATCAGATAAGAGAAATTGCTGCAGCTACATATATTTTACATCCTGGCCCTACATAGTTCACTATTTGCATCACTTACCAAAATATTACATGTGGTCATATATGCTTGGAAAGTGGAGATGCCATAGAACGTCAAAAAAGTAAACATTGCTGGAGACACATTGTCGTTTTGGAGAAGACATCGCGTTTGCTAGCGAAGAGATTTGTTGTGGCAAATGAACTTGGCCTGGGAATTGCCAGGAACCTCACGATAAGATATATGCATCAGCATTGCGAGTCTCATGATTCTATACGTATTGCGATTCGATACTGTGATTTTATTGCGCACCATATGTCTGTTGCAGAGGGATCAGAAAGCCATGAGAACGAGTTTTGATCAGTCATGGAAATAAAAGTGCTGAAAACTAATTGGCTCCCAATGTGAAAAGATTGAGAACAAGCTATGAAGGAACAATAATGGTGTTTTGGTGCAGGTACAGCCAACTAGCGCTAAAATATTGCGATATTGTCAATACAGTATATCGTAAAGTATCACTATGTAACTCGATTTCTTTCACCCCAATCCCTCAAATTAACGGTAAATAACTGAATTGTTTGCCCCACATTTAGCTAAAATGATTAGCTAGCCAGCTAAAATGTTTTATTTAGTTAGCAGTCGCATCTACAATAGTTTACTGTCAATAACATGTCTCCAAAAATGACGTGGTGTCTCCAATTGTGTTGACATTTTACAATTGCAATGCGCATCCATGAGTATCCACTTTCTGTAGCTCAGCTGGTAGAGCATGGTGCTTGTAACGCCAAGGTAGTGGGTTCGATCCCCGGGACCACCCATACACAAAAATGTATGCACGCATGACTGTAAGTCGCTTTGGATAAAAGCGTCTGCTAAATGGCATATTATTATTATTATTATTATTATTATCTGAAGAGAGCCCCGAAACATTGTGTGCAGACATTTTATGCAATAAATGAAGTAGGTTCAATCTAGTAGTTCTGATCTTCTGATTGGTCCTGATGAGTTGGGCGAGGTCACCTCCAGGCTACTGTCACTGTTGCATTGGCTCTGAGTCGGGTTCTCTGTCTTCAAATGTTCAGCCTAAGAGAGGGGATTTTTGTGTGTGTGTGTGTGTGTGTGTTTAACAGTGATGATGTGTGTGTGTGTGTGTGTGTTTAACAGTGATGATGTGTGTGTGTGTGTGTTTGTGTGTGTGTGTGTCCTCAGAGCAAGAACTCGTGAGTTGGAAGAACTGAGAGGCCTATGGCGTGGGTGTTGTCCTTGGCCACCTGCTGACAAGGCTGACAAGATAGGACCCTTTTGTCCATTGTTATTGGATAGGAACAGAACTTATAACCAGCTCCTGACCTAAATAGATCTTAGCACAACATTTTACTCAACATATCATATTCCATATTCACTATAACAAATATATTTACTACGACATTAGCAAGAACCGCCACATCCTCAGCCGGCTAATCCAGTGTGTGAAGTTTTGCGGAGTGTTTGAGTTAGCTTTGCGAGGCAAAGATGAAACTGAGGGCTCCACCAACCCTGGTAAGCCAACACTTTTGAGATCAGTCAATAAATGCTTCTGGTATTGACTTATATGCTGCCCCTGTCTTCATGTTGTTGCTGGACATATCTTTTTTTAAAATGTGTGTAGGTCACCTAAATCATCAGAAAAATTGCCCCTCCTGAGAATTTTTTCAGGAGCCGCCACTGACAACGACACAGTTACGCAGCAGCAGCTTAAGTTTCCAAATGGGTATTTCTACTTAGTTCAACATGTTTGGTATAATTAGTACTTCCTCCTCAAGCCCACAGTAATATATACCTTCACATTACAATTCTGAATGGCACAGAAATCACTTTATTATTCTCAGCGCTCACTATATTTGTATTTAGGCTTCAGAAAACCAATCAATCACTGTTTGAACCACTCCATATTGTGACAGTTTGACTCAAGGTTTAGACAGAATGCTTCCCTGCTCGGATGTGGGTTGTCAGGAAAAATGTAAAGCGTGACAAGAGAAAATGTATGCCTTGAAATATTTTTTTCACAAAAATTGAATTGGCTAAAATGATGGGACCCAAACAACATCAGCATACAACTGGGATTGGGACTCGTAATATAGAAGACGCAAATTCACCGAATATCATAAATAGGGTACAGAGTTTTTTCTGGTCGGGTCACGTGGTCAGTGTTAATTAGTGTTAATCGTAAATAATCTATACATACCACGCCATTGACAGACAGGAGCTGGTCCCCTCGCTTCAGGCCCCCGTGCCTCTCAGCCAAGCCCCCTGGGATGATGCGGGAGATGTAGATGGGAGAGTTCTGCTCCTTGCCGCCCATCACGTTGAAGCCCAGCCCCTCCTCCGTCTTGGGCAGCTCCACCACCCGGGGGTGAGAGTGACCCTCGCTGGCCGCAAAGGCTGCAACTGTGGCCTGCAGAGAGAGACAGGAGAGAGGATAAAGATCAGACCATTATTGGTGTTTTCAGCACTAACTCCATGCCCTATTCCACCCTATTCTGTCAACCACACAAAGAGATTAGATAATGACGATACTAAGTGCATGGACTGGGATTGGATTTCCCAACAGCCAAATAAACTTTCCCATCCCCAAGAGCAATGGAGAAACAAAGTGTACAGACTTAAATTCACTCTGTGAGTGGGACCTTCTGACTTCTCTCTCTAAACGGGGCTTAGAGACGTTCAGTAGGGCTGAGAATAATAAAGTGGTGATGTATTGTATAGCCATGTGAGAAGTTTTCTGGCTCTGTAAGAACATGGATTTAGCACATATCTGTTGCAGCTGGAGAAGAAGAAGCGAGATAACCTTCACCCCCACTAACTAAATCTCTGTGAGCCTGCTTCACTAAATTCCACTGGCCTTGGGATGGCTTTCAAGTTCTAGACGAATCTTTTCTCGCCTTGTCGTCTGAATACAAGTGTGCGGGAGCTTGTTAGCTCAGCCTGGAAAAGGAACAGCAGATGTTCGGAGAGACAAAGGCGCCGCAGGTGCCGGTCTGTCAAGTCTGCCTCATTATTATTATTAAGCAATACTTTCTCAGGAAACTGCAGGGGAAAAAGGCCTCTGTTTCAAAGCTTGGCGGATGTGGATCCAAAGTTTTCCCCAGCAGGCAAAAGCCCAAAGCTTTGAGATCCTCCACTCTTCCGGAATCACTTTCTGCCCCCCCCCTCCCCTCTCTTTCGATCTCTCTATCCGTCTCTCTCCCCCACTGTGAGGTAAAGAGGCACTGTGCTCAGTATGCCACCACCACCTCTCTGGCTCACGGCACATCCACCTTCACAAGTTTATCTCCCTTCCTGGGAGGAAGAAACAGGTGGCCATGGCCTCCTCAAAAAGCAAAAAGCGTCTGGGGCGAACCAAACTAAAATTACAGCTTACTGGGAAATTGCCCAAGTAATGTCACAGTACCGAATGGAAATTACTTAATTTCTACAAACATTTTATCATCATCAGCCATCAGTTCAGCTCAGTCTTTACTCTGGAGCACCATAGCCTAAGTGGTCTCCCATCTCTGGAAGATAAAATATTAAAACCTCAGGCCAGGAATTACAGTCTGGAATTTATTAAATTAACTGGGTAATAAACCTAATCAAGTGCTCATGTTCTCAGGTGGAAAACATTTTAATTGGTAAACGCTCACCAGCAACAGTGCAGCAAAGGCATCTAAAATAACATCTACCCCGTTTCGCCTCAAGATTGCTGGTGTATCAAGGGATCCCTGCTTTTCAATAGGACTATAACACGTTTTTTAGGCTTCCAATTTCCTACTTATTAAAGTGATTCATGTGAAGTGCTGCCCTTCAGGAGTTTGGTCAGCAATGTACTTGAGATGTACTTGGAGACAAGGCTGATGAAACGAGCACTGGCTCAGCTAAACGGAAACTCTCAGGAGGGCGGCACTTTCAAAAGCAGCGCACCATCTCGTTTCGATGTCATCGATTGAAATCGCTCCCATGGGCGCGGAAGCCAGCGAACTGAGTTTGTGCTATGTTAATTGCTGCTCCGCTGGTGGCTGTATTTAATATGCTTTTGAAAACATTGGTGATGCACAAGGACAAAGCTGAAAGGCACTTCATGCTGTTGTCATTGCTTTCTTGTGTAAACAGTGTCATATGGACAATCTGTATAAAAGATGCCGATTGCCTTGCTTTAACACTGTGAAGTACAAGCCCCAAGGCCTCTTTTATGAATTGTAAAGTCGTTTGATTAGACCTGTCTACATTCTCTCTTTCAAAACAGCCGTTTGAATAAGCTTTGAAAATAAAATGGTTTGTTTATGAATATGTCCTTTATAATGTTGAATCGGGACCTTGAATATTCCACAAATGATGGATATTTGAAGGGAAATGAAAAGGACACGCTGCTGTAACAGCATACCATCAACCTCAAAAACATTTGATCTGAGCAGGCTAGAAAGAGTATTTTGATATTCTATCAACATCAGATACACTGGTGTCCTTCAATAGGCCTAAGCTATGTCCTTGCATACCTTTCATCCAAGGTGGAAATTCACAACACAATCCACAGTCTGATTAAAGTTGTAAAAAAGGTTACCCCGTTTACTACTCCTTTAGAAAGGGACTGAACCATAGTCGAGGTTATAGCAATACTCTGCATTGCAAACTGTTTTGCAGAGAATTTGCGATTGAAGAGATGACAAAAAAGAGCCCTTTGGAATTGTATTCCACACCGGGCCTAGTTATGTATTCATCCTGCTTGCCCAGTGTTGTCGATCTATCTGTGTCCTACTCCTCTGTGTGCCCAGAAGATGGGGGCAGCAGTCTCTGGAAGGAGCAGCCAATTGTATCAGTCAGTCTGCACACCTCCCTATGTTGCCCCATCTCTTCTTCTCTCCCTCTCTGATGTATTGGTAACACTGGGAGAGAGGACTGAGATGCACTCCTCTCTCTCTCATCTCACCCTCCCTCTTGATTCCCTCTTTTCGTGTCCCCCTTTCACTGTTAGATGTCTGATTTCTTTATTCTCCTCCACAAAATAAGCTCTCCTCCGAAGGAATATGAACGAGTGGTAGCGGAGGGACTCATTGGTAGAACTTCTCAAGTGTTTACATCCAAGGTGTGCTAATGGGTAATTCATTGTACACCAAACCTGCTCAAGTCTTTGATCATCTGAAGGAGACATGATGGCTATTTATGTATCTAGGCTACATTGTATATTTCAGCCTCAAGTTTGGTCAATACAGCTAAGCCAGTCTGAGATTAGAGTATGTTGCTCACCTTCGCTGTAGCCCGTGCCTGGTACTCCGGACAGCCATTGACTGTGATTGTTTCATGCATGTACTGGTACACCTGAAAGAGAGAGAAAAACGGACAAAAACCATGAGTGTATTTTCTCAGTACTTTTGAATTTGCTGCTACATTTCTCCAAGTCTCTTGCATGTTCAATCCATGTCATAGCCTACCAATTACCAAGTCTGGTAGTCTAAGAGTTTTGATTTCTATTCAAACCTGTTTTTTTAGATAGTTTTTTTGCAAATACCTTCGTAGATTATGTAGATATTCATTGGATTTCTTCATCCACCTAAAACCACCTTTCACTGTTAATAAACTGGACATAATTCTGCACCTGATTCTACTGCCTCCTGCTACTTACTGCCCTTAAGGCTGCTCAAACATCTGGTCCCTACGACAGTTAGCATCAGCAAACAGTGGTGCATCGGTACAAAGTACAAAATACTCATACCACACTGTGGTGTGGCGCTACTAGCCCTTGAAAATTCCTCTCATGCAGGTAACACATGATACTGAGTAATTAAACTGAAGAGAGTGGAGTTTGGAACAGAGTAGAGAGTGGAGTTTGGAACGGAGTAGAGAGTGGAGTTTGGAACGGAGTAGAGAGTGGAGCTAAGACTCTTGGTACTGTAGGTGAATTTCCAATGAGGATTTCCCCCAGTGTTTTCCCAAAAAGCCTCAGACTTTTGTGTTTCCAGCTCCACGGCCTGGCTCCTGGTACTCACTGGGCCATGGCCTCAGTGGACCTGCCCTGACTTGGGGCCAAGACCGCTGGGGCTTTTCGCCATCATTTATATGTTGAACAAAAATATAATTCAACATGCAACAATTTCACTGAGTTACAGTTCATATAAGGAAATCAGTCAATTGAAATAAATTCATTAGGTCCTAATCTATGGATTTCACGACTGGGCAGGGGCCCACCCACTTGCGAGCCTGTGGGGTGAGTTTTTCCACACAAAAGGGCTTTATTACAGACAGAAATACTCCTCAGTTTCATCAGCTGTCCGGGTGGCTGGTCTCAGACGATCCTGCAGGTGAAGAAGCCAGATGTGGAGGTCCTGGGTTACACGTGGTCTGCGGTTGTGAGACCGGTTGGACGTATTGCCAAATTCTCTAAAATGACATTGGAGGTGGCTTATGGTAGAGAAATAAACATTAAATTCTTTGGCAACAGCTCTGGTGGATATTCCTGCAGTCAACATGCCAATTGCACGCTCCCTCAAAACTTGAGACATCTGTGGCATTGTGTTGTGTGACCTTTTCTTGTCCCCAGCACAAGGTGCACCTGTGTAATGATCATGCTGTTTAATCAGCTTCTTCATATGCCACACCTGTCAGGTGGATGGATTATCTTGGCAAAGGAGAAATGCTCACTAACAGGGATGTAAACAAATTTGTGCACAACATTTGAGAAAAATACATTTGTTGTGCATATGGAAAATTTCTGGGATCTTTTATTTAAGCTCATGAAACACGGGACCAACACTTTACATGTTGCGTTTATATTTTTGTTCAGTAATACATAACAATGGCTAACTGTGAACGATGTTGAACACCTTTTTTGATTATGAAGAGGTTGCTGATTCTGCTCTTTACAAGTCCTCACTGTCAGGCCTAGCTATGGAAACACAATGTCCCTAGTATAACATACACTAGTGTAACTCTGGTGTTACAGTCGAAAAGCAGTACTTTGTTTTTCAGCTTAGCAACTCTTTGATTTCCAGCATTGAACACCATGGCAGTATCTTGGGGCCTTATTCCAGGACACCTCTTCCACATTTACAGTGTTCTACCCTCCTCTGAAGAGGAGTCAGCATTATGAGCCAATGGAAAGCTTTCAGGTGTAAAAGAGCTATTTTGAGTCGTTTCTATACAGAATATGACATACTGTATCAACACCATTTACAATAGCACCCCCAGTGTACAGTATGCCATTATTACACCTTCCTCTGGTGATCCAACAGAAACAACTAGAAACATTATGAATCCTCTGATTAGTGTTGCATTGTTGAACATTACATGAGACATTGGCCTAAATCCCCATACGGAGTCATGTAGTTGTTGATGTGACTCATTTTAGCCCACATCCTTCTTGTTCTTTAGCCAAGATGCTATACACATTTTCAGTGCATTGTTTTTCATATAAAGATACAGCATCCATCCATCATTGTGAGCTTGGTTTAAATACACAGATGTTTGAACTGTTGTGTATTCAAGGTCTCAGTGGACGCCTTGCAGCGAGCCAGGATAATTGTGTCTAGGAAACACATGAATAACAATAAAGGTCAAGCTATTTCAGTCCGTAATTTGCTTAACTATATGCACAAACATCCACTAGTTTAAGTGCAAATTGGATTTACCACTAACTACTGCTGAATTATTCAACGAGCAAACCAAATTAACTTGTAACGTCTCAAACCCTTCTTAAAGAACAACATTGACTTTGTTTTTTTTCTTGTGCAGTGAATTGAAAACTTTTTCGTTGTATTGTTTTTCTCTGGAATGGACACTTACAGGAATTCTAGTCATCAGCTCACACCTCGGTATGTCTCTACTCTCTACAAAGGAGTGCAACTGTTTTCTGGGCTCAACCATCATTCAATATTTCTGTATGATGAGCTGGAACAAAACAAAGGCCCTTGCTCCTTTACGACTTCAAAGTGCTTCATCTGTGCTTCAACAATAAAACAAGTGGTTTGGTGTAGCCTACGTATATCCCGAATATCCTCCGTCTGACTGATGAAAAACAAAGTCTGTTTGTTGATATGAAAATAAAAGAATAACCTCAAGCTCACACTTCACACCAACAAAATAAAGAAATGGTATTTTGTTCTCAGCAAGCAGTTCACTTACAAAAATAAGATATTGGAGCTTTTTAGACTGACCTTAATGAACCCAGTTAATTAATGAATTTAACCTTCTGTTCCGATAATTCAGTGGGGGAAAATAATCTCCAATAACATAAAGAAAACAGTCGCAACATGGAACAAATTGCTGTGTTCTTTTTACCGTCAGTTGATGTTGTGAAGCTCCAGGGAACATACAGTGAGAGAGTGAGTGAGAGAGAGAGAGAGAGAGAGAGACTAACCTCCTGCCAAATGTATGACCATATTAGAGACACATATTTCCCTCAGATTACAGCGATCCACAAAGAATTCGAAAACAAACCCAATTTTGATAAACTCCCTTATCTACTGGGTGAAAAACCACAGTGTGCCATCACAGCTGCAAGATTTGTGACCTGTTGCCACAAGAAAAGGGCAACCAGTGAAGAACAAACACCATTGTAAATACAACCCATATTTATGTTTATTTATTTTCCCATTTGTACTTTAACTATTTGCACATTGTTACAACACTGTATATATACATAATATGACATTTGAAATGTCTTTATTCTTTTGAAACTTCTGAGTGTAATGTTTACTGTTAATATTTATTGTTTATTTCACTTTTGTTTATTATCTACTTCACTTGCTTTGGCAATGTTAACACACGTTTCCCATGCCAATAAAGCCCTTAAATTGAAATATAATTGAATTGAGAGACAGATGGAGAGAGAGGAGCGAGTGAGAGAGATTTGAAAGACTTGCACTCCTGAAGGCATCAGTTCTACCCCACTCCCCCTCCTGTTGCTATGCATCCATCTTTACCTCCGTCCTCTACTTTCCTCCTGAATATACTCTCCCTCTCTCTTCTAACACTCCGGTTCACTGGGAGTTCACCATGGCAGGCTTTCATTAACCCAGATCTATTTCACCTCTGTAGAAGGCTCACTGTGCTTGACGGGCTGGGGGCTACCAGTCTACCGTCAGCCTTACGAGGACGCCACAATGCCTGATCGTGGAGAGAGCTGCCCGGAGGGTGCCTGGCATGACGCGTGTAACCATGGCTCCCCGACAGTCTCCCTCTCTCTACTGAGTCAGGGAGCAGAGAGCAAAATGGGGGAAGAGATGAGACGGAGAGAGAGAGAGAAAGAGCGGTTGAAGAGCTCTCCTTCTCCTCTCTCTAGCTGACAGAGTTTAAAGGGGTCATTCGGTAGAAGCGACACAGTATTTAATAACTGTTCATTCACAGACCTCCCTTGCTCTGTCTGCATGACACAAAAAGAGACTATTAAAACGCACAGAGATAATTAAATGAAGTGGCTTTCATCCTTCAGCAGTAAATGCAGTAAGAGGCAAAGGTCCGCCCTCAATGGAGCGGCACACAAATCCTTTCCTTTATATGAATTCAAAGTGAGACCCTTATACATATGCACTATTCCATTATCATCCGGCTACTACAACTCTATGATCACATAATTAATTCAGTTCATTGGAATAGACTATGCTTTTTCTTAGCAAGGAAAAATTACCTGCATTGTTTTGTGACTAAGAAAGTCATGATTCGATTTCATGTGTGGTTGAATCGTTTGCTCGGGCCTCTCGGATGATTCTCATCAGGACCAGTTCTTGATATGCATAACGCTTTAAGTCAAGCTAACAGAGAAGCTGGAAATCATCATAAAGTCCATCATTTCCAGCTGGTTAGCGCTCCCAGTCTTCCCTGGTGTCCTTCCCTTTTCATCTGACGACTCATTCAGGGACTTTCCCCGAGCTCCGAGATGTCATTGATAGACATGGTTGGGAAGAGCGACGCTCCTCCTCAGTCCATCTCTCTGTCATTGGGTGTCTTCCAGCTTAGCAGGCATTTCCATCCCCCATCATTTTCCCCTATCAACAGTTAGCCAGCTAACCCCCTCACCCATAGCTAGGCTGATTCATGTGGCTGTAAATTCTATTGACACTGTGAAGAAGGTTTTCAACCGGATCACCTTTGTGACTTCTACAGTAGAGACATGATCAAGCTACCCTGGTCTGTGGGATTCTGTTCATCAGACCATGAAATGAGCTTCCCCAGCAGATATGAGAGGAGGGGAACAAATCGAATCGCTCAGTTATAATACCTGGTGGCCCCAGCTCAATGCAGTATAGGTCATCTGCATTAATGAAATTACATGCAGGTGAATCCCAATACAGCGCAACAATAGAGGGCTCTGAAGCAACCTTTAACCTTCCTGTAATAGCTCTCTCAACTACAAAGACTTCACATCTGCAGACATGCAGTACAGAACAGGGGTCAGAAGAGGTCAAATGTGATTACGATACGATTAGATCACCAATGTAGCTCAAAGAGGCTCAACAGTCTAGTCCTGCTATGTTAGGGTATTAAGAGCGAGCTGCAGGAAAGTGTTTTATGATTCTCGTCACTATCCATAGTCTGGGGAAAAAGGGTGACATTTTAAAATTAGCATGTTCTAGAAAAGTGTGCACAGGGGTTGTGACCGAATGCTGGATTGTAAATACATGCGACACGGCACGCATGGCAAGGTATTGCTCAATTCACATAAATGCCATGTTCTCTGGTCTTCCATAGAGACATGGGAGTATTTATTGTCTTGGGACGCTGTTAATCTAGTAACCACTAACGTGAACGCCACAGTGGAGTACCCAGCTGTTGAATGTTGCAGCGTAACAGCATGTGCTGATAATGATCTCAGTTAGTAAACATTATCATGGCCATAACCACTCATCTTCACTCTCTAGCCCCTCTAGCAGTTAGACCTCTAGGAGAAAGAGCCATTCTGCACCGTGGCAAAGTGTCAGCTCACACAAGGACGTCATTGACTGGAACCCATGGCCGGTCAGCCTCAGCAACCAATCCAAGCTGATCCTCTCTAGTTTCCCTGGTGACTGGATGTGTTGTTGGTGGTTGAAGTGTTTCTCTCGCTCTTTCCCTCTCAATGGCCAGCTGTTTTAAGCTAGTCTGTAGGGTGCTGCATCGCTGCTACTCCTGGCAGAGACATGAAGCCTCCCCACCACCAGGCAGCACCAGGCTCCAGTGTCTCTGCCTGACTCCCAGGCCAGCCTTCTCTCATCCTGCTACTCAATGAAAGGGCCAGTCCTCTCTGACATTTCCTACTAGAAATGTATGCACGCATGAAATGTATGCACGCATGACTGTAAGTCGCTTTGGATAAAAGCGTCTGCTAAATGGCATATTATATTATATTTTAGATGACCTCAGTCTGAGTATTGATGGCCCTCTTACGCTTCAGTCTGTGTGTCTGAGTTGACATAAACTAAGTGGAGCCTACCCACATGTACATATTACCTCAATTACCTCGACTAACTTGTGCCCCTGCACATTGACTCTGTATCGGTACCCCGTGTATATAGCCTCCCTACTGTTATTTTATTTTACTGCTGCTCTTTCATTATTTGATATTTAAATTTTTTCCTTATCTATTTTTTACTTAACACTTTTTTCTTAAAACTGCATTGTTGGTTAAGGGCTTGTAAGTAAGCATTTCACTGTAAGGTCTACACCTGTTGTATTCGGCGCAAGTGACAAATCAAATTTGATTTGATTTGATTTGTGGTCTGTCTGGAAGAACAGCCCTAGAAGTCTACATTGTTGTGTACAACACCATTCCTATTCTATTATTTCTAACTTTCTTTGCAACTACACCCTTTAAGACATTAGATTTGACTAGGATAGCCACATTTATTTATTAAAAAGAACCATCAGTGACCTGTGGTTAATTTCCCTGTGTTGGCAGGGGCAAAAGGAACCTGAGGCAGTGGGGCCATGGGACCGGGGACTCGACTCACCTCTCTAATGGCTGTGCAGAACTCACTCTGCAACACCATCTTCAGGGACTGCAGCTTGTGACCGGGGACGTCCCCGGACTCCTGTAGCTTCTCCAGCAGCTCGATCGCCCTGGCCACATCTGACAGAGAGAGAGAAAGAGAGACAGAGAGGAGAGAGAGGAGAGAGAGGCAGAGAGAGAGAGAGAGAGAGAGAGAGAGAGAGAGAGAGAGAGAGAGAGAGAGGACAAGAAGGGAAAAATGAATTACATTAATATTGAATTACATTAACAGCAGAGCCCTGAGAAAGACACCGGTGTGAATCGATATAGAGGATAACGGAAAAAAAACTCAGTCAAGGCCAAGGGGAACAAGAAAGAGAGAGAAAGCAATACCAGTGTCGTTTGCATTAGGCCTGCTCCATGCATGAGAAAATGGGGGGCGGACTTCGAGGGAGGGAATCGTTCCGTTCAAAGCGAGCGATTTCCGGCAGGAGCGGTACCGTGGGCATTAGATCCTTTTAAAACAAGCCCATGACGCCCTAAGTTAAAGGCTTTGACTCCTGTGTCTAGTAAGGTCTCCACCCCTAATTATCATCCCCTGAATAAGTCCAGGGAGTAAGGCAGATTACTTTCACACTCTTAGCGACAAACAGGAAAAATGTAGAAATTACAGTACATTTTACATTTACATTTTAGTCATTTAGCAGACGCTCTTATCCAGAGCGACTTACAGTTAGTGCATATATTATTTTATCGAACCCACAACCCTGGCGTTGCAAACGCCATGCTCTACCAACTGAGCTACATCCCCTGCCGGCCAAATCCCTCCCCTACCCTGGACGACGCTGGGCCAATTGTGCGCGCCGCCCCATCGGTCTGCCAGTACATGCTGGAAGGGGAGAGGAGGGATTTGGTGCTTAGCCTAATCATTGAGTCAGTTGTTTTAGAAGAACCAAAATAAAAAGCAGTTGGTCGATAATGTGCATCTGTCAACCCTTTATCCCTTCAGCATGTGCAAAGACCAAACTATACAGTTTGCAATCAGTGAGTCGCTCGAAAATGATCAAACCACTTGTAATCAAATACTGATTTTTTATTTTTAAAACCTAGCTTGATGTCGACACAGTGACACTTGGAAGAAATAGCAAGATTATGTTTTGGAGTTGATAATATAGCTTAGATGTGAAAAAGGAAACATTTCAAATCGTTAAGTGAGGAGATGTCTACTTTATTAATCCAAGAAATATCAAACTACATCAGAATAGCAAGTGTATACAGAGGCTAAGCGCAAGGATTGTAAACAATGATCTGAAACATATTACCCTGGTGTTGAACTAGCGCCATGTTCTGGACGACACCATCAGAGCGAGGTAAACACTCAACAATGTTTACAAACATCACGCCAAACCCAGGGAGGCTGGACTAAGACGGAAGAAAATCTAGTGTAACCCAATGAGGCAGAGAGGAGACAAAAAGCTATTACTGTTTACAGACCTAGGGCGAACTAGGTAGGAGGGAGAACTGCATACATAGAACCTGTAGTCGTTTAGCAGGTTATATTTTGTGCCAGTGTTAGGCAGTCAAACAGACATACAAGGGCACAACATTTACTGTTAGTACACAAGTATAAATGGACAAAGAACATGATACCCAGAATATCACAGTGGATTACAGTGAACCAGAAGAAATTGTGGGCTCGATTTCCATCAGGATTGATTACTGCAAGCCAAGAAGTGTTGTCAGGGAGATCTTTACAGGGCATTAATCACCCTAACTCCACGACTCCACTCAGCATCTTCTGTAATGATGGCCAAGTGTTGTATAGCAGAGATAATATCACACAGAATGTTCTATAGGATGTAAAATGTATATATATATATACAGTGAGGGAAAAAAGTATTTGATCCCCTGCTGATTTTGTACGTTTGCCCACTGACAAAGAAATGATCAGTCTATAATTTTAATGGTAGGTTTATTTGAACAGTGAGAGACAGAATAACAACAACAACAAAAGAAGAAAAACATGTCATAAATGTTATAAATTGATTTGCATTTTAATGAGGGAAATAAGTATTTGACCCCTCTGCAAAACATGACTTAGTACTTGGTGGCAAAACCCTTGTTGGCAATCACAGAGGTCAGATGTTTCTTGTAGTTGGCCACCAGGTTTGCACACATCTCAGGAGGGATTTTGTCCCACTCCTCTTTGCAGATCTTCTCCAAGTCATTAAGGTTTCGAGCCTGACGTTTGGCAACTCGAACCTTCAGCTCCCTCCACAGA